CCCACACACACACACACACACACACACTCTATCTCTCTCTCCTTTGGCTTTTCTGTTGATCAGCACTTCTATTTCATCAGTCTAAGGAAAAGAGTCCAAGCTGGGATCTTTTGTCTATCATTTATATATGTGTACTATAGGACATATTGCTAGTGGCCCCTGTTTTGGGGTACCGCCACTGTGCATAGCTTTATTTGTTTGTTGTTCAATTTACTTGCCAAAATTTGGGATGACAACTCTCTCTCTCGCTCTCTTTCTCTCTCTCTCTCTCTCTCTCTCTCTCTCTCTCTCTCTCTCTCTCTCTCTCTCTCTCTCTCTCTCTCTCTCTCTCTCTCTCTCTCTCTCTTACAAGTACAATAGTCATGCTGTTTATCTACTTATTGCAGGGAAAAGCTGGATCAAGTCGATGATTCTGACAGCTTCACTCTTTCCATTTTTGTGCTTTGGAATTGGTTTCATTCTGAACACAATTGCCATATTTTATGGGTCTCTAGCAGCCATTCCTTTTGGCACAATGGTGGTTGTCTTCGTCATCTGGGCATTCATTTCCTTCCCCCTGGCTCTTCTGGGTACAGTTGTTGGAAGAAACTGGAGTGGTGCTCCAAACAATCCTTGCCGTGTCAAGACCATTCCTCGCCCTATACCTGTGAAAAAGTGGTACTTGACGCCATCTGTAATCTCCTTGATGGGGGGTTTGCTACCATTTGGCAGCATATTTATTGAGATGTATTTTGTCTTCACATCCTTCTGGAATTACAAGGTAAACTATAACCCGATTTAAGGCTTGTGTACCACTCACCGTTTACTAAGTTAGTTTGAATAAAAAATAATGGCTGAACTTCCATGGATTCAGGGAGAAACAATTCGAATTCAGTCCTTCATAGCTTCAACCTTCCTGCATATAAATATAAGCATGAAATGAACTCAACGGTTTCAGGGTGCTGACCCAATGGGTCCACCTCGTGCCCTTTTTCTGGTGATATGTAAAATTTCAATGAACTCCTTTGAATAAAACATTTATCTTTTGCTAAACATGCATTGCTTGCATGGTAGTCTTACTTTTCGTATAATTTTTCAAATTGATCTGGGACACATGAAGGGGAGCCTTGGAGCAACGGTCAAGTTGTCTCCGTGTGACCTATAGGTCACGGGTTCGAGCTGTGGAATCAGCCATTGATGCTTGCATCAGGTAGGCTGCCTACGTCATACCCCTTGGGGTGCGGCCCTTCCCCGGATTCTGCGTGAACGCGGGATGCTTTGTGCACCGGGCTACCCTTTTATCTGGGACACATGAAAGAACCCCTTCTGTTAGGTAGTGACATATTAAAGTATTGAATTGATTGCTAATATACCGTCATGGGTTTTTGCAGGTGTACTATGTTTACGGGTTTATGCTTTTGGTATTCCTGATTCTCATTGTTG